CACACAGACAGCCTCTTCCCAATATGCGTTTTTGCAATTTACATATATGCAAAAACGCGTAAAAAAATTGACTGTTCATTACTTTACACATTTTTCGGACCAAAATTTATTTTTTCATTGTCTTGGTTGCTCGAATCAAACGCTAATTCTCATCCCAGCGCACCGAAAAATTTGCTGCATCGCGGATGCGAGTCGTATTCAGTTCACAGTTTTTTTTTTTTGAACTAAAAAGTGACTGCGTTGCAAAAACTGCTTAAAAAAGTTTAAAAAAAACTTGTCTGTGCTGCAAAAAAGTGTTAAAAAATTTTGAAAAATTGCCACATTGCAAAACCTTCTCAAAAAATTTTGAAAAAGTAAGAAACTAATTTCATTTTAAAAAATTTTTCTATCGAGCAGAAAACTAGCTGGACCTGTTACTTTCATTCCAATCATGTGGGGTGCATCCCAGTAACGGAGATAATAAAAAAGCTGGATATCCCCTTAAAATTTTAGCCCACCAGCTTTTTAGGTTCCCTAATTAGGAACTTTCGTTAGAATATTTGCGTGCCTGTGGAATTCGAACTTGTATGAAAGCTGGCACCACGTCTTTAGGTCACACATGGCCAGAAAATTCACTGGCAAAATTTCAGCGTCAAAGCTTGCTTGGTTGCCGAGTTGAATCGGACAGGCGCACACAAATATGCCTACCTACCAAGTCACAAAGTGCTTTTTTGCATTTGCATATTTGCAAAAACGCTCAATAAACGAATGGCAAGTAGTAATAAATTTGTGAATACGTTTCAGGAAATACTTGTCCCGCTGAAATATTAGTCGACGTCCAATTTTTATAATTCCGCTTAAGTCTAATAAGTATCTTTTCATCTAATATTACATAAATATCAAAAGAAAATTCATTGTACATGCAAAACTGGCAGCGAAAACGCATCATGACGCTTATAGTTTTATGTTTTTCACTATTTTCCTCATAATTTTCCATCAATTCTCAGTACCCATACCCCCATATTGTTGTGTAATGATGTCATGGTTAAAGCTAATAAGCAGCTAAATTCCACTTTTTAGAAGATGCCTGAATAAATCTGCTGTGTGACTGAGGTAAACTCTTGACTGAGATTTGCCTGTGCTTATTTGCAGCCCATCTAACCCTCTTTCCGTCTAAATAATTCGTTGCTCGAAGATATAGTAGCACTGGATGAGAGGCAGAGAAACCAATTCGAGGATCAATTTTAGCACTTTCCAGAAATCATCCTCAGCAGCATCATCATCATCATCACCTTCATCGTGAATTCATTAATTATTAATTGCTATCAATGCTCGCTCAAACAAAAAGGATGGCGTTTGGCTGCTTTTTGGATGCACTCAACCATCAAATGTTTCACGGGCCATATTGTCCCAATGTTTGGATCAGCGATTCAGATATCCCATGAACATGACGAAAATGAGAAAGATTACGAATTTCCAATGAATCAGTAGCAACTACAGCTTGAAAAAATAAGTCTTTGAGCAAAGTTTTGCAAAAATTTTGGAAATTTTTAAATCTGACGCACATCAGTTGTCAGCTTTTTTACCCACCCAATGTATTTGCCTCTGGTTTTTGCAACTTGATAAAGACAATATCGTCGAACGGTACAACTTTCTGTTATCGATTTTTTTGGAAAAACTGAGGATTTTCGGGGAACAACAAATGGAGCGAAGATTCATTCTTCACTTACAAGAGGCGCAACAGAAAAAGTCTTAGATGCCCTTTGATCAAAATAAAAAACTTACCGATTCTGTGCATAAAGCCAAGCCAGTCGTCCAACCACTCCTTCCGTTTCACATCATCGGACAGTTCATACAGCTACAAAAAAGACCTCCTTAATTCGCAGGTGTTTCGATTTCTACTCGAAGTAATTTCAAGATAAGTTTGAAAGCCCAAAAACATGTAGTTATTTCAAGACAAGTTTTTAACAGAGTTTCAAACCTTTAGTCTAACTGCTCTGGATGTGAGCCTAAACTCGCGTTTGTGTCCGCATGATCAGGATTCATGGACCTTGAAAACTAATTCAGGTTTTTGTTATACTCATGATCTTAGTTCTGTGGTTTCCATAATTTTGAGCTAAACACATACACACGTACTCTGGGGGACAAACACGTATAACACAGTACTGTCCAAAAAATGCACAGGGCAAACAATTCGTGCCAATATTTTTTTTTGCAAAAATCCAAAAATTTGTGAAGTTAGTCTAAACGTCCCTGACATTTCGCTTTCTGTAAGAAGCGGACTTGTAGTTAGTTTAGTTGCCACTGCCGGTGCTGATACTTCCAGCTGCCTCTTTTGCGAATGAAATTTTCCAGATACCCTGTTCTGAATTCATGGCATAAACTAGTGCCAAGCTATTAACGAAGAGAATCGCTTGACGATTGATTCCTTAACAAAATCGAATCTCCGTATTTTTAGCTGGGAAATAGCGCCGCTTGTTGTGACTTCATGTCTTCTATCAGACAGTGCTTTCTTTGAAACTTTAGTGAGCGTGCTTCTCCAGCTTTGCAATTTGCACCAATGCTGTATCGCATGGTGATCAGTGTACCAGGCATTCTGATGCCTGTTTCAGCAGATAATGTTGTATGCAACATCCTTTCACAATTATCATAAATTAATACATTAATCCTGCACTGCTTATTTGCTTTAGCTAAAGTCATAGAGTATATATGCAACCTGTTTGGTGAACAAATGCATCACGCAAGAACACGATTAAGAAACTAAATTACAAGAAAATCCCCTTAAATTTTGCAAGTTCGCCTTACTGTAGGCAACAACAAACAGTACTTGTCATTCAGGGAAACAATGTAAACAATTTGTTATATTTACAGTGTATAATGTTGAAATGAGATAATTACTACAACGAAACAACTCGGTCATCTGTTTGCACATTTCACAGAACTGCTTACCTCCTCAATACCTCTTCCTCCGCTCATAGCCCCGCTTATAGCCCTCACAAACGTTAGCGTCCCTAGCACCCTCCCTTCCTCTCATTATGCATAAATATTCCACATGTTTACCATTACCTTGAGAAATTTTGATTCGCATAAATATTCGAAATACCACAAACCTAATTGGCAAAATATATAACTAAGAGACTATTGAAGCAAATACAGCCAAAATTCGTCATACTGTCAGGTTTCTTAAGCCTCTTTTCTTGCCTAGCTGTGACTTGTAGCATGCATTAGAGATACTCGAAATCTCTGTAAAAGGTTGTTCTTATAGCTATTTCGAGTACCACAGATCCCAGACGACGCCATTTGTGCGATTAAATGAAAGACATATTTCATTTTTCCACTGTTACAATGATATTTTTTAAATGCAAAGTCGAAACTACATTTGGCAAACTGATTCTTCTATTTTTTTTCTTTTTATTTTCAAAGTTTTTCCAGAACTATGCAGATAAACTCGATTTCAGCAAAAATCCGTTTCTTTTTCATTTTTGGGACAACAGAGCAATAATTGTTGTTGTTGGAGCAAAGAAACTGGAAGAAAATAAAATAAAATTATAAAAAATTTTGTCTCTAGGCTGGATTATGGCGCAACTTATATCTATCCAGTAATAAAATTGAGCAAATTAAATAGAAATTCTGGGG